AAGAGCGTTTACAAGACGAGATTTACCCACTCCGGTCTTACCAGTAATAAGGATAGACAAGCGATCTTGGCGTTTTTCTGAAGACCATTTTAAAAAAGCAGCCTTGAGTGATTCTGGACCTTTTTCGGGCAATTTTTTGGCCATCCTTCACAACCTCAACCGACACAACTGATCAGCCATAGATCATGGGAGAGAGGATTAACTGAGGCCCTGGGTTGAGGAATGTTCTTACATGACCAGAAAAGCTGCGAACATGCAGTAATGGCGGACAGTTGAAATAAAGAACGTGCGCGATGGTGATCGACTTACGTCCGTACAGAAAACAGCTTCCTGCCTTGGCACTGTGGTGTTTTTTCGGAACCTGCTTTTATTCGTTTGTAGCGTATCAAATGTATGGCGAAAGAGGACGAAGGAACAGGGTAAGTTGACTTAAAGTTCGAACGATGTTGTAGCGGAGAGAGAGGTGATAATCTGGATATTTCATTAGGGGAGAGTTCCGTGTTGTTGATACTCATTCAAAGATTCTTTTATATTATTTTAGACATCAAAGTTTCAATTGAAGGTAACGGTTTGCGCACTAGTGTGTATTACAAACCTACAGACTCGCATAATTACTTGTTATATTCGTCTTCGCATTCATCTCACGTTAAGAATTCCATTCCTTTTTCTCAGTTTCTAAGACTTCGTCGTTTATGTAGTGATGACTCTGATTTCCACCACAAATCAGAGTTAATGTGCCATTTTTTCGATAAACTTGGTTACCCTGNAATTTGTCAATCCCGGGCGCACTAGAAAATAGCACAATATTTGTTTACCACTAAATGTCAATCACATAGATATAACAACTGAGCAGTACTTGGACTACTTGGATCTGAGGATTCAACTTAAACGTAAACTTGGAGCCATAATAATTGTATCCTTAGCATCCTGAGTACTGATTGTCATGCGGCATCTCGAGCTACAAATCTGCCATCTTCACCGTTTGATTGTGCCCTAAAAATTGAATATTTTGGGGGCCTTTTGCCCTAAAGACTCGCATTTAAAAAGCGAGATCAAATCTTTTTCAAATTGTGGCTTGTCAACTGAAAAGTGTCAGATCTGACGCCTAGCAAAAATTTGTCCTACTCCGAGGCAGGACGACGGCGCTTTTGAAGATTCCAGAGTGATGGATTTAACTGAGTGGTTACCACTTAGTGGTTGCCATGTTCCCACCAATAACGTAGCTCCATCTTCTGCCTTTAAAAGCACACACAACCCACAATTCCTCTATTCGCTCCGACGAAGGGCTAGCACTCGAAACGTCAGCTTTTGTAATCGTTACAGTGGCCAATTTACCATTTCAACTTTGTTGATATATCCAAACTTTTATATTATACCTTAATGATTTGAAACCTTGAAAATTTGTAATTCGTGCGTAATAATGTGTCGATCAGTTTGAAACCTTGACATCCCAACCGCTGGGCATTTGAACTTAGGACAGTTGCTATGTTAAAATGCTCATTCTCTGGAAAAATTTTTCAAAAAAATTGTGCTTAAAAGCCCCACCAAAGAGCCAGATTTGATATTCAGTTTTTTTTTTCTGAGAGGAAAAATCAGTGATCATTACTACCCATCAACTAAGCTAAAACCAAGGCTTTGTAGACCTCTTCTTCTGAGCCGTGCATGCTATTCGCAGGAAAAAGTGAACTAAATGTCTTTAAACATTTTCATATGAAAAGACTTGACACTTCCAGTTCAAATTCCTCATGCCAGCCTGGTATGGATGTTAAATTATTATGTCCCCAGACCCAGAACTGAGTCTGCAAAACGGAGCTCCTACACTACAGAGGATCTGTTCTGTGGAACAGGATTCCCTCAGAGATTAGAAAACTACATAGTTTAAATGTTTTTAAAACTTCATTTCATGGGAAAGATTTTTCTGATACTCCATTGTAACTTTTATTACCGACAATGTAAGTTTTTGTATTTTCAACATTATAGCTCATAGTTCCTTATTATTCACAATGTAAGTTTTGTATTTTTAATATTATAGTCAATAGTTCTTTAGAGTATTTTAGTGTAGTTTAAACATGATTCCTAGGAAGACTATGTAAAATGATACGATTTCGTGTATAAATAAAGATTGATGATGATGATGATGATGATCATTTTCATTTTCAAGATCCCCACCTGACTTTGACCCAATTGTGGTCAATAGTAAGGAGTTAGAGTACGTTCATAAAGCTAAGATGTTAGGTGTCACCTTCTCCGTCGATCTCAAATGGAACGCACATGTAGATGAGACAGTAAAGAAAGTCAACAAGCGGCTTTACTTCCATTAAAGCGCGCCCAGGTTAAGTCTAAGGAGCTCGTTTTATTCTATCTTACATGTATTAGATCTGTTATGGAATATGCATGCGCACTCTTTCACAGCAGTCTACCTCAATATTTATCAGTTGATTTAGAAAGATGCCAGAAGCGCGCATTATGTATAATTTTCCCTGATAAAGAATATGACAAGGCGCTATCATGCATTGGGCTTATCTCGCTGCATGAGTGGCGCAAGAATATTGCCAACAAGCTCTTTTCTAACGTTCTTGTACCAAATCACAAGCTGCATAAGCTCCTGCCACCCAGGAATGTATCTAGGGTGGACTTAAGGAAAAAGCGCGCTTTTAATTTACCTGTGGTTCGTATGAACAGGTGCCATGATAGTTTTATCTTTCATCATTTACGCACGCTTTGTATAAGCTGACTCTATCTATGTTACCTAATTTTTAATTTTTTAAAAGTATGATACCATTTTTATATATTTCGTAAATTTGTAAATGAATACGTAACTCAACCTTCGGTTGCATTGTTTTTCAAATAAACTGTCTATCTATCTATCTATCTATCTATCAATCTATCTATCTATCTATCAATCTATCTATCTATCTAAATGTCCTTATGTTGGCCAGGGTGGGGGGGAAAGTGGAGGGGTGATGTTGGAGCTCCAAATTGATCAGCTTATGACACCAACACAGAGGCCTATAAGTTACAAGGGGTGAAGGTTCTGAATGACATACTTAAGTTGTAACAGATGAGAGTGTGGACCTTTTGATTCCTTTAAATTGGGTGTCAAAATTTGCTAACCACTGAATAAAATGTTTTGATTTCGACAGACAAAGCTTCGTGTTATGCTTGGGCTTGAGCTTCCAGAAGCCACTGGAGAAGATAAGGAATGGGAGACTCTAATAAATGAGACAACTTATGTGAAGAACGATGACAAGGATCTCAAGTTCAGATGACACCATGCTGTTCATTTCTCAGAGACTTTCACAGAAATATAGGCTAGCCTGCAGAGCAGGCATAATTTGGGTTAGCTCAGGCATAATTTGAGTGCTCAGTATTTTCTTTGTGAAAAATGGTGGCTATCCTTGATTTTAATGACATAGGAAGGCTGGGGAGAGAAAGAAATTTTTACCAAGGGGGTGAGTGATGGTCAAAAATAAGGAGAGGGGCTAGGGTTGGGAGTGAATGTTATGCCTGTGTCTTCCCACCCGTCCCCCGCCCTGTACCCCCACCATCCATCTGACTCAAAATCAAATATGGCATTTGGAGAAACAATCATGAGCTGATAACACTACTTGCCCTAATAAGATGCCTGCACTGCAGACTAGAATATAGGCCAGCTGTTCGATGAACAGGTTTATGCGACATTTACTTTGTACTTGTGAAAGGTCTTGAGGTCAACATTTAATATTTGCATCTCTGTACTTTAATAAATTCTGAATACCTTTCACAAAAGAACTTGTTAAAAGAGACATGTTGAAAGTGGTTATTAACTGCGTTGTTGTGAATTTGCCATTTTAAAGTATTGCTGAAAAGAAGTGAAAAGTTGATGTGCAAGATCCTTGAAAAAAGCAGTGTTATGGGGGTTCACTGATAATGTCAAGTTACAGGATTTTTATCAAAAGAAATCTAGTTGCAGCAGAATAGTGTAAAGTAACAGAAGAATGTTCCCCACTTAAAAAATGAAAAATATGTTTATGTTTATTACTGATTATTACTGATGGGTGCACGCTAAAAAGTCTGGACCTGTTCAAAAAGAAGTGGTTAAAACATTGTTACCAGCAGTATAACAAAAACTTCATATTATTGTACAATTACAAAATCCAATGGACTATTAGTAGGTGCTTTATTCTCCCTTGATCTTCCAGGCATGGAGGGAAAGAAAACACAAAATTTTGCTGTGGACAAGAAGGGGTTAGGTTGCCCTCTCTTTTCCTTGTTCCATCCCCATCTCTTTTTGCTTACTCTGCCTGCAGAACCTTTTCTTTTCTTTTTAGGACGGGTTAAAAAGGCTCTGCTCGCAGGGTACTTTTTGCTCAAAGCTTGTTCCACAATGAGAGAAACATGACTGCTTACAGTGTAATGGGGTTGATCCTTAAATCCCTTTAACTCCTGGAGTGATTAAAATGTTACTTCTCCCTACATGAATAATATCCATACATTATAAAGCAAACAGGTGATAAGAATACTCAAGCTTATCAGATAGGAAAAAAACAAACTCTAGTAACTAATTTACTAGAGTATTTGAGATAAGAATTAACAATCAGATCTTGGGTGTTAAACAGTTAAAATGGCTGAAACAATGTAATGTGTGCAACAACCAGATGGGCTTGATGAACAATTTATTTCAAACACATCTATAATTTGAGACTTGTGGATTAATAAATTATAAATGCAAAGTTTATGTAACAAAGTAAGTTTTAAATTAAAAATTTATAAAATCGTTCTCTACATGAGCTTAAACTTTGTGAAGTGAAAATCCTTGTCAATGAATATCTACAAATACTTTTTATAGCAGAGTTATGGACAGCACAATCCAGTAATATTGGTAATGTAACTAGTCTTAAGAGAGGCCGCTTGCTACTAATTCGGAATGTTTTAAAAAAACATGATAAAAATACTTTTACATTTATTTCCCCCCAATTGATAAATTGTCAAATGGTATTGTTGGATCACTTGTTCCTGGTTTTTTTTTTTTTTTTTCTCAGAAAGTAGATCATAAAACGTTATTTTTCCTCACAGTACCGAAACGTTTAAGAAATCTTACAATGGTGAATAGGGTTTTGAAATATACACGTCAATTCAAAAGCAATATTATCCTAAATTTGGTTTAACGTTCTTTTCCGTCGGAATGATATGACTGACGAAGGGTTTTGAGTTAAAAGTTTAGCTTTGAAATCGAAATTGCAGTTTGACAAAAAAATATGGTTTTTTGCTCAGCCACTAAAAGGTTGATGGAAGGCTTTAACTTTCAATCGAAAAACTCTTAGAGCAGTTTTTAAGTGTCGAAAGGGATCCTGGGTTGCTTTGGCTCTGGTTAACTTCACTCTGTGATTTGTCAAGAAAACTCACGCCACCATCTCAACCAATCAAAGGCAGGATTAAAACCAATCCTGGGTCACTTGCGTGCTTTAAGTAGGTTACTTGATTTTACTTTGAGTGATCATTGATTAATGATGATGATGTCAACCTTTGATTGGGTGTTGTGATTACTATCATTTTGGTTTTTTTCGACCCCCGATTGAAGCCTGCTCTATCAGTTCGAATGACATTTTATGTTGTATGACATTTTATGTTTTTATGTCGAATGACATTTTATGTTTTATGTTGTGAACAAAGTAAATAAAGTGCTATCAATAAGCAATAAGTTGTTTTGAGGGTAAAGCTTGGATTTAAATAGGGAAACTTACAATGCCAGCGTGAAGCAATAAAAAAGGATTAATTTAAAATAAACCAATCACGTTCAAGGAAAACCCAAAATATGTTTTGATTGGTCAGTGCGTTTCGAGCGCGCGTTCGAGTTTAGTTTTCCCGCCTTTTCTTACTAGTTCATCGTAAGAGTGTTTTTCAGCGTTTTAACAGTGCACTGATTTCGGTCTCCTTGCCTGCCTATGCCCTGAGGTAGTTTTTCTCGTGTTTACAGAACTCCACACCTCGGCATAAGGATTGGTGTGCAGGTTTTGACTTCGTTGAAGAAATTTTCGTTTGATAGTTATTGTCGCATTCTTTCTTGTGTATTCTCGCAGCATTTTCTCTGCCTCTAGAAACGTTGCTCCTTCTAAACTCTCTCCGCTAAAATCAACGATTTCATCTCCACTTTGTAAAAATCCCTGGGCATTTCCCGTGGATGAAACTTCTGCGATGGAAATTGGCAGATCCCCGTACGGGGAACACACACCCCCTCCGACAGAAAATCCCCACTCGGAGACTTCACTTTCCCGCTTTACCTCGACAACGAGAGTTTTCTTTTCGATGTAATGCTTCCCTGTAAATTTCCGAGCCGAAGAGCTCGAGTTTTGATTCAACGACCAGCTGGATCCCAAGGTAGGCGCCGTATTACGCCGACCACGAGCTAAAGAACTTCGGCCGACGGCTGCTGGTCTTGGAGACGCGTACGAGTCCCAGGGAAGAGGTAGTCGCTGCTTTATAGTGAAAGCAGGCCACGTTGCTCTTACATCACATCTTTCGATGACGTTCCGTCTGCCAGCATGCATGGCGCCTGAACGTCTGAAGGTCTTTATGGGGAAGAGTAGCGTTTTTTCGTTCTCGTAAACTTGCGGTGTGTCAAAAACTGATTCCCCTGCTTTCCAGTCGTTCGACAGAGGGTGTGCCTAAAAATAAGATTAAAGCATGTTAGTAAAGTTATTTTCAAGAAATACTAAGTTTAACTTTCCTAAACTGTAACAATACCAAATTAATAAGAGAAAACCATCATCCTTTTCCCTGACCCCTTCACTGCAAACAACAGAGGATGAGATGAACTTAAGATATGCTTCGCTGCCGCCACTGAGGGATGACGGCGGAAATTTTGGTTTGTCCCTTATGCGAAATGTCACACCATCTCAACGTGGTCATAAAAAAAGTCAAGCAGACTGAGCAAGAGAGCTGCTTGAATAAGACATCAACCGACGCATCTGAAAACTTCATTGAGTCATCTAAAAACTGTGCTGAAGCATCTGAAAACTGGGCTAAAACATCTGAAAACTGGATTAAAGCATCTGAAAACTGGACTGAAGCATCTGAAAACTGGGCTAAAGCATCTAAAAACTGGGCTAAACCATCTGAAAACTGGGCTAAAGCATCTGAAAACTGGGCTAAAGCATCTGAAAACTAGGCTAAAGCATCTGAAAACTGGACAGAAGCATCTGAAAACTGGGCTAAAGCATCTGAAAACTGGGCTAAAGCATCTAAAAACTGGGCTAAAGCATTTGAAAACTGGACTAAAGCATCTGAAAACTGGAATGAAGCATCTGAAAACTGGGCTAAAGCATCTAAAAACTGGGCTTAAGCATCTGAAAACTGGGCTAAGCCATCTGAAAAATGGGCTGAAGCATCTGAAAACTGGACTGAAGCATCTGAAAGCTGGGCTAAAACATCTGAAAACTGGGCTAAAGCATCTGAAAACTGGGCTGAACCATCTGAAAACTGGGCTAAAGCATCTGAAAACTGGGCTAAAGCATCTGAAAACTGGACTGAAGCATCTGAAAACTGGGCTAAAGCATGTAAAAACTGGGCTAAAGCATCTGAAAACTGGGCTAAAGCATCTGAAAACTAGGCTAAAGCATCTGAAAACTGGGCTAAAGCATCTAAAAACTGGACTAAAGCATCTGAAAACTGGGCTAAAGCATCTGAAAGCTGGGCTAAAGCATCTGAAAACTGGGCTAAAGCATCTAAAAACTGGGCTAAAGCATCTGAAAACTGGGCTAAAGCATCTAAAAACTGGGCTAAAGCATCTGAAAACTGGGCTAAAGCACCTAAAAACTGGGCTAAAGCATCTGAAAACTGGACTGAAGCATCTGAAAACTGGGCTAAAGCATCTAAAAACTGGGCTAAAGCATCTGAAAACTGGGCTAAAGCATCTAAAAACTGGGCTAACGCATCTGAAAACTGGACTGAAGCATCTGAAAACTGGGCTAAAGCATCTGAAAATTGGACTAAAGCATCTGAAAACTGGACAGAAGCATCTGAAAACTGGACTAAAGCATCTGAAGACTGTGCCATTCAAATTATTTAAAGCCTTACCACCGAGGAATATTTAAAGCTCAACTTCTAAAATAGAGATCTGCCAAGTCTGACGAACCAGCAAAAACCTACCCCTGGTTCTTCCCGACTTTTCTTGTTTCCTTTTTCATTTTTCTTTTCTCGGTCTTTTCCGCTGTAATTTTCACCTTCTGCTGTCCCCAAGAAAGAAGAGACGCGAGAAACTCGTTTGACAGGTTTAGTGAACGGGCACTCCCTCTTTGTGACGTCAATAACGGATGAGAGGGGCCTAGCGATGACACTCGAGTTGGCTGCTTCCTCGATTATGCTCCGTCTTTTCTTGGGTGAGACAATATTGTTGTTTACTTTCTTGTTGTCTTTTTTCTCTTGGTTTAGGTGCTCCATAATAGAGCGATTCGCGTCCTTGCTTCTTGCCACAACCATCGTCACCACTGCTGGCAGAGACCTAAAGATGGCCAGTGCCTGCGCATGTGTTTTCCCTCGAAGCGCCTGGCCATTCGCCTCTAGCAGTTCGTCTCCAGTTCTGACGCGACCTGATTTGGACGCAGAGGAATTGGGCAAGATATCGTTGACGTAATGATTTTCCATTGGTGTGTCAGCTCCGCCCACCAAAACGATACCAAGAAAACCATTCTGTGGCTTGATTAACTGCGCATGACGAAAGAAAACACCATTATACATTAAAACTTCCCGTGGAAAGGTTTTTTTTTTTTGGATAACGGAGCGGGAGGGAAACTGGGTGAAAAGGACTTCTCGATTTTCTATCGAACTTGAAAAATCAACACTTTTTTCTCGATCAAACAATCTTTGCCTCATTCCTGTGCATATTTTTCTTTTTTTTCAATCCACCTTAGATTTGGCCCCCACTAATTTCTTAGTTTAAATGAAAATTCAACGCCCGACGTTTGAATAGCAATTCAGATCCATTTCAATGTTTCCTTTCATTTCAGGGTATCGCAGAGCAGTAAGATTTTCCAGTGTGCGAAATAAAAAAATTGTCAGTATCAAAGAAATGTGTCTGCTGCAGCTATTTTTCTTTTCTTCGTATATGGCGAGGAGGCAAATTCATTTACGATCTCTCACATTTTAATTCAATTACTTAGAATTATCTTTATCATACAAATCTCCGCCGTAAATCAAACACTGATTCACTGGTGCCGTTTTACTGTTAATTTCCCCGCCATGCCCATCATTACTTCACGCTTGGATACACTTTACAGTTAATGAATTTACAAACATAAACTATGATAATGCCAATATTCGACACGTGCTCGAAGGGTAAACAGGTGTTGTAAAGAAGTGGACGATACGAACAATTAAGCACCACTCCGGAAAAGAATGCCTTTACTTTGATTTTGGAATTAAAGGAAAAAAAAGGAAACATATACCGGTAGAGTTCTTCGCTAGTGATATGATGGTGAAAATGCTGAGAAGTTGAAATCTAAGGAAATAAAACCAGAAATCGCTGAAATGTGATGTGTAATTTATTTATCAGGAATAATATCTGTGTACTTTATCATTTCATTTCCTATTAAGGTCAAAGTGCCCTAATAGATTAGACATATCTCACTTGATATGCCTCTTCATGAAATCAAAGAGATTCAACTCATAGCTAAATCGACCTTTTCATCATGTTCCGTTCTTTGTTTTCTTGTTATGTATCAAGTACAACATTACCCAATTGCTGCTTACATTTGGAAACTGACAAGTTATTTGAAGTCAAAGGAGCACCAAGAAACAGATGTTTTGTTAGAAGCAGTTAGAAATTACAAAGAAAATTAATCGATTTCAATAACAAATCGAACACGACACGCGAACAATGGACATCAGGTCGCGTGGCGTAAAAGACCAAACAGCCGCATAAGGAAATTATCTTTGTTGTCAGATTTCTTGCCCATTTTTTTTTTCCAACGAAACAAGAATAGTTCCGCATGGAAAGGAAAAGCTTTCTGGATGTATTCAAAGTAAAGAAGGTGAACAAAATTTTTAAGAAGTACAAAACTCATCATTTAGTTATGAGTTACAAAAAACTTGACTTCTCTCGTTCGATAACGAAAACTGCAGATAATTAACTTCTGAAAAGTTTCCTCTTTTTTTTTTCGATCGACTATTTACCCTTTGCTTCTTTTACTCTTTTTACTCTCTTATCGAACTTCAATTGTGCTTTTTGCTCTCTGTGATCGCAATTAAACTCGGCTACCCTATAGAGAATTGAAATGTTTTTATTACCTTAGCCAAAGACACAATGGAAACCTTAAACGGTTTTTTTTTCAAACATGGAACCCTTTTGTTATCCCACTATGAAAAGATGACATAAACATTGATTCAACGTTAGAAATACCGCAGCGAAGCTGCATGTTGTAGAATATTGCTTAAGACTTTTATTTGAAAGATTTCTGTCAAAGTGAACAAGATCTGCGAAGAACTGTCTACTATGTTCATATCTCGTTGTTGAAGTGCTGTATCTAGTTTCCATATTTTATTTATAAATTCAATGTTGTCAGTCAGTTTGATTCATCAAAGCCTTGTATTTCAATAACCTCGAGTAAAACTTCAATTCAAGTACAAAAAAAAAAAAACCTGCGTATACATGATTAGTACATAAAACTTAGATCGAACTCCTTCAGCTATTAAAAGGACTTCAAAACGCTTTTACTTTTTGATGTTAACATCTGAATTTCTCTAAAGATCGCTTTCGGTGGAAGTTTCTGAATGTCCGGAAACAAAGACAAATTCACTTGATCATGTACAAATACGTCGGTACAATTACCTTTCAAAAGTTTTCCGATATTTTATCTTGGGGTGTGGCGAATAAGTTTTTTTCTCTCATGAATCATTCCACTTTATCCCAAAAACGGTTTTGACTTCATCGAAAAAAATTGGATTCACTTACAAGAACTTTTTATTTGCTTTGAAAATGTAAGCAATCAAGTAAAATTTGTTTTGAACTAATCTCTCAAAACTACGGAAATCCGACTCTTTATCAAAGAAATCTAAACAGCTTGAAGGCTTGCCAAGTTTTAATTGTTTTATTTTTTTTTTTGAGAAGCGAGGAAAAGGAAAAAAAAAAAAAAAATTTCCGCATTCTACTACTCACGATTGAAAACTGAAATATTGAATGACATGGGTAACGTACCTGTATCGAAAAAACGCCCTCTTCTTCGCCTTCTTCGCTTTCTTCCGGGAAGGCGTTGTTGTTTGGCCTTCCTTGTGTTTGATTATTTATCTTCTTTTCCACTTTGGTTGACCAGTAATTCTTCACGACTGCTCGAGGACTGAAAGGCTCAATTCGCGCCTTTTGCTTCATTGGTTCCCGGTCATTGAACATACTCTTTGTGCGATTGGTAATTTCTCCCAGAACTCTTCTGTCCTTCCACAAACTGTCTGCCATTCCTTTAGCGTCAATCGGCTCGCAAAGACTCGGGTAGATCTCGTTTGGAAAAGGCGTCTTGGTCTTGGCGTAAAAGTTCTCGTCGTTCTTCGAAGTTTTGCCTCTAAAAAAGTTGTAGGCCTTTGACAGGAAGGACGTCGAGTTTGGCGCCCGCATATTCGGTGAAGTAGTTATGGCTCTAACCGGCATTAATAGTCTTATAGCGCGCGTTACAGCCGATTCATCGGTAGATATCCCGCTCTGAAAGGAGTGATTCTGACTGTACCAGTTGCGGTTTAGAATGTTACCAACTCTTCAAGCGCTCTTTGCCATCAACCTGCCCTAGGTTTCATTACATCTGTTTCGACGGGCCTCGTGTTTTTGTGGTTCGTTCTTTGTTTTTCTCGACCCTGACAGTTTCGAATAATTAACATAGCTGTGAGTGAATGGAAATGCAAATTGCGCGCGAAACACCGGTCACGCCAGCTACCTGTTTGCAGACACTCAATATACACTTGCTGAACTTATTCGTCGAAGCGTATCATCGAACACAGTATTCCAGAAGCCCTGTCAAACGTTAAAGATTTGCGCCTTGGACTGTTAATTAAACCTGATAACTGCGTAAAAGATATTGTGCATTTACTTGTAATGAGTAAACAACAATTCGCGCTTTTCCTTTGAAACATTTATCCACTCTCAACACGTGTCCCTTTTACGAACAAGCCTTTGCCACACTTCTACAATATAGCACGTGCATGGGCGAGATGGAAAGTCTTGTGTTTAACAATTTATTCTTGATGCACACGTGGTTAACTTGTATAGCATTCCGTGTTTCTTTGGTTAGAGCAGCAGAAATTGTACCGATCTTGGTGAAAACCCTGCTAATGAAATAATATTTTCAAATACTTTTGGTAAAATCGACCTCGAAAGAAGAAACACTGAAAAAATCGATGCAAACTGTTTTTTTTTTTTCAGAAAACTGGTTTATTAATGACCCTTTTTTTGTCCTTCTCGGCGGGTTTTTCTTTTCTTTCCATGTTGTAAGTTACTACTTTTAAAGTTTTTCGATCATCGTTAGAAAAGGTGGCAAATATTTTCAATGTTGAGAGATAAAAAAAACTATTGGTCAAACCGAGGGAAAAAACACATTTTCCTCTTTCTTGACGTTTTCTTTGGGAATGCCTTTTCTTCGAGTTCACTGTCAAATGAAACGGCTGATCAGAAATTTATTTTTGTCTAGATCTTACACTGTAGTCGTTGTTTTACTGTTAACTACCGGTTTTGAGCTAATGCACAGTTTTGTATGAATTCAGCAGGTGCTAATCTATTGTGAATTACTTTCTCCCCAGTTAGAAAGTTTCTTAATGCAAATTCAGTTCGAGTGCAATGAGCTTAACTTTTGCTGCGCATGCGTTTTGCATAGAAGCAAAAAAGTGCACTTAATTGTGGTAAAAGGGCCATATCTCATGTCTTAATACGTGTTACTTAAAAAAACTGGATCCTTCGGTATATAAGAACTCAGTTCGACATTTAAAAGTGAATTTCTCTTGCAAGAAACTCATTTAAAGATCAACTTACTGCCAACGGCCTTACAAGACCTTTCCCAAACCATTTTACAATCATTTTAAGCTACTCAGCTTAAGATACAATTTCCTTGGTTGTAGAGGTGACAGAGAGAACAAGGAAGCACGCTAAAAGAGGAAGGGGTCCTATTTCGCGGAAGCTGAAAAGCCCCAGGTCTCCTGGGTGGGTATGTCACGCCTCCGTGACGTAGATTACCCAGAGTTCTCATGGAAACGCATCTCTGGATGCTTGCCTGTCCTGCTTGGTGCAAGGGTTATTTGGTGTAAGCACGAACTATAGTTCGGACTTTTTGAGCTGTTTTATCTGTCTGACGTGAATTTCGGCGTTTAATCCTGTGAAAACCCTCCATTTTGGGTCATTGTCTGACGGTGGATAGCGAATTTTGCCAGTATGAGTGTAGGGGATGACAGAAAAGAGCTAATCCTAAAAGGATTTAAGTTGTATCCTTCATGCGTTAAGTACACTACAATTTTTCCTTGAATTTTAATCTGTTCTCACAGAGTAACTTAGTTTGTCAGTTTCTAGTCAGCTCCCTATCAGGATTGGTCCTTTTAACCTTGCTGATCTCTGCGTATGTAATTTCTTGGATTGGCGAGTTGGCAGTAAGTCTGTTGCTATTAATTTTGTGGTTAGTACAAACCTTAGGATATCTTAAACGCAAATTTTAAAGTATCTGTGTTTATCTGTCGATATTAAAGCGTTATCTAACTACACGTATATATATATATATATATATATATATATATTATGCAACAAATAATACTTGTTACTGAAACTAATTCTAATTTCAAACGTAGACGCACTGTTGAAAAGGATCAAGTTTCCATCACCAAAACCTTACTAACTACAGCGCACAACTTCGTAAAAACTCGATTTCTAGGCAAAGTTTGAAGTTTGCGAAGAGATCGCCATTAAATACGATTTCAAAGTTGTAAATGTAATTTGGCAGCGACGTCGGCGTCAAGTAATTGTAATTTTGTATCGCTTAGATAATGTTTTAATTATTTCGCTGTGAAACGAATAAGTAATTGCGTGTATGTCGGTTGATGAATTTTGTCAAATATGGCGGAGTGTTTATTTTGTAAGTGCGTTATTTTGTCTCATAGACTGAGGGATAAGTGAAAAGATTTCCTGACATATGTCAATTAAGTCCAGCCAGCTGCTTTGAACTGTTTGGTCTGACTCTGATCAGAACACCTCTCATCTTCCAAACAACTTGACTTCAAAATTTTGATTTGGTGTGAAAGAGAGAGAAATTGTACCCCATGTTAATGTCTTTCTGTGTCCTAAGTGACAGATGTAATTGTTTTCCTTTCCTGTTGGGGATAATGTCACTGGATTAATAACATTGCAAGTTTTATTAGCTGCTGTCAGTACAGTCAATTACTTACCTTTGGTATCTGCCAAAATTTTCAAAATACACTTGATTTCGTGTAACATCAAAGTTTGCTGTTAAGTGACAAGGATTGCAAAAGTATTAAGGTTTCCTTCAAACCTTTCCTTAGTTTCTTGTACGGAAAAACGAGTAGCTAAAATTTTTTGACAAGCATTGGCTGTAAGTTTTAGATGAAACAAATGTAAATGTTATGAAAGAATGTTTGTCAATGTAATCCTTGAACTATAATTTTGGTGCAATTTGACATATAAGAAGATGCATGAAATGGTGGTATTAATTAAATACTAAAACAATGGTTAGCATTAGAGGTGTCAGGGCTTAATACTAACGGTAGCCCACTAGCCACAGACTAGTAGAAATTTAGTTTTGGCTAGTGGCTTGCGATTTCCACCAGCCAGTTTGGCTAGTAAACAACCTGAAATTGTTGTAACATCTAAGGTGTCACTAGCCACTTGGCTAGTAAGTTAAAAAAGTTTGTGTCGAGCCCTGGGTGTGCTCTGACTGGCTACTCAAACTCCATATATCCTTTGCTATTTACCTCCAAGCAATTCATGCAGAATTTTCAACTGAAAAATTGTAATAATTGCAGGAATAAAAAAGCTTAAATATTTTTTAGGTGCTATATTATCTCACTGGTTAGCATATACTAAAACAACTATTCCACTCAGTGGTTAGTGGTGGATATTTAGATTATTTACTCTCAATTGTTAACCTGTAACGTGGGAGAACTGCAAGGAAGTTTTTCCATTCAAGGGCTTTATTCTGCTAAAAAGTTATTTAAGCATGGAAGCACAATAGCTGTTATTTTGTTTCCCTTAATTATTATGATCCAGAAACTGGATGAATCTTCGAGATGCCGACTCTGGTAAAGTATTATGGCAGGGGAGTGAAGACTTGTAAGTGAAATACAATCCTGTTTACTTCCCTCCTCTCTTTTTAAAGTAATTTGGCTTGCATTTAAATCCAGTCTCTTGCTGTCACGGTTGAGAGACATTTTCAAGACATAGCTTTTAAAGAACAGCACAGAGTGCCTGAGGTCCTTATTATTTTCCCATCAATCTCTGAGAATTAGCACCCTTCTTGGTGTAAAAATCAAGAGGAGGAAAGCATTGGGTCAGAGGGAAATGAAATGCAATCCTGTTAACTTACTGTACTTCCTCTTTCTTTTAAGCTTGCATGTTAATCCAATTTCTTGATGTCATGGTTGAGAGACCTCTTCAATATGTAGCTCTCAAAGAGCAGCACAGAATGCCTGAGGGCTTTGTTATTTTCCCATCAATCTAAGAGAACTAGCTCTATTCTTGGTGTAACAATCAAGAAGAGAAAAGAATTGAGTTAGAGGGACATTTACAGTCTCTACCCTCACCCTACTGGGAGTCTTGTTGTAGTTTGACAAACGGATTTCATCCTGTTGTGGGTCTATTCAGTAATAAATCATGGAAGGTGTCAAAATGTGGTAAGAACAGAACAGTGGCATGCTAGATGCAGCTGGGTGTGTCACTGATCTTCTGACCTGATGTTGATGTCTTTTGTGATCTACTGCTGAATGGACTCAAGTCAAAATGGATTGTACTAGTTTTATACAATAAAGATGAGAAATAATGTAAATGGTGAAGTCATTAATGCTTCTTTCCTCCAATAAATCACAAGTAACAAAAAGATAATATGCATGTATTATTCAGCTTGTCATATAACCTATGCTCAATGGAATACTGTAAAAGCCTACAGATAAGCCACACCCGCAGATAAGCTGCACCCCGAATTTAGCAGCTCAAATTTTGAAAAAAAGTTTTTTGATAGAAATCAAAAGAAATCCAAAGTAGAGTCTTGAGAAGTCGTTTTCATCCACTGTTCATTGAATGTAAACTCATTAACATTGCAACAGAAAATACTTCAAAGTGTTACCCACAATTTTAGCACTTTAATGTAATGAACATCGTTTCTACCAACTTTGACATTTGATTGGTATTTTTCTGGTATTTGTTGACAGTAATTTCTTCATTCATCACAGTTTTTCCATAGATTTTTGCATTACAACAGGAACATAAGCAGAACATTCAAAGATCAATAACCAGGCATTAGATTGGACACAAAAATGGACGTTCGTGACACCATTTTCAAATGTTCCCGCAGATAAGCTGCACCCCCAATTTCTAGGGACAATTTTTGAAAAAAAAGTGCGGCTCATCTGCAGGCCTTTATGGTAATTGCATCAAGGTTCCTTGGGTTATTGCAGTGAAATCTTGAGTGTCTCGCCCCATATATTTATCCAAATAGAAAGTATTTAAAATTGAGTTATAGGCTAAACTTAAGATTCTGAGGTCTGTGTGCTAAGGGAGTCCTATCTACCTTAATGCTGCGTTCAAAGTTTCCATTTTCGTTAGGAGGCATGTAACTGTTTTAATATTGATTTTTGTGAATATCTTTCTGTAGGTCAGTTCCAGGATCTGAGCATGAGGGTAAGATGCATGGGGCCTTTTTTTACAGTCTTTTAGCTGGGTCTTTCCTTACACTTAGTAGCACGGAAAGCTGTAAAACTCTTGAACAAAAGCTCATCTTTCAAACCGGCAGTCCAAATCCCACAGGGATCAACGAACGCTTTTCATTCCACTTATTTATTCGTGTTTTTCTCGTTGCCATGTTCCCACCAAAAATGTAGCTCCATTTTCTGCCTTTAAAAGCACATACAACCCACAATTCCTCTATTCGCTCAGACGAAGGACTAATGCGCGAAACGTCAGCTTTTGTAATCATTACGGTGGCCAATTTACCATGTCAACTTTGTTGATATATCCAAATTATTTTAGCTGGGTTGTCATTAGAAAATGTAATAGATGTATGCACTGAAATGAGTAGGTGACTAAATTGAATTACTGCACACCTGTATAGCAAACATGGCATGATGCAAAGCAAAATGCCTTTATGGGGAGTTGGGCATGCCCCAGAAAAAAAATTTAAATTTGAAACTGAATGAGATATGATTTCCAACTTTCTGGGACATGCTGTACTTGAGTAACTTGTTGTAGCCAGACATCTGTGGGGGTATCACAAGACAATTTTGTTTTGTTAACTGAATCAATAATGTACATCGGCATCTTTAGAGAGTTCCAAAGCTGACGTTTAGTGTGTTAGTTCATTGCTTGAGTGAAACTATTCTTGGTGGAAGTGAGATCTTTATCAACTTTATTCATGAAGAGAGTTGTCAGAATGAAAGATAAAGGGCTTATGCTCCCAACTTCAGCTTTATAAACTCTATGGTGGCCAGTTCACGTTATCAAACTAGTTAAAACTCAAGGCTGGGCTCTAAGAAAAATTGAAAGGAGCCCAGTGCTCTGAAACTGTGAAATCCAGGGTGCCCAGCAGATGCTTTTTATGAAAAAAAACTAAGATTGCTGAGTTGCCCAAGAGCAAAAGTAAAGCACCATGGGCCACTGGGCGCTGTTAGACCACAGCCCTGAAACTAAGTTATCTCAAGCAGCAACAATTATTCATGCAAGGTACAAAATAGATACATGAGATCTTTTTGCATTGGAATTACTGTTAATTCTAAGTTTTTGTTTCTTTACATTTGATTTTCAGCGAGAGTACCAAAAAAGATCTTAAAATGCAAGGCGGTCTCTAGAGAGTTAAATTTTTCCTCCGAACAAGAAATGACAAAATTCAGACTTGAACAAAAAGTCATGTTCAAAGGGAAATGTTTAGAAGGCAAGTAACTGTTATTTTAGTGTTTGTATCAGTGTTGTTGCAAAAGAAATTAGGCTGCTGGCTGAAATTTCAAGTAAGGCAGCTCAAAGATGCTACTTCAAAGAAGGTGTCTTGCATGTAAGGAGAGACCTGTCCTAGTAACAGCATTTTGTTTTCTCTCATTTGTAATACTTTTTATGCTGGACTACTGAGCTTCCTGTGAACAAACTGGTGGAAGAAGTCACAATAAAAAATGTTTTAGTTTGAATTATTATATGGCTGTGTCTAATATACGTAATATACGTTAATTGAGGCTCCCCCATGGGGGCTTTTCAGCCACAATGTAGTTTTAACTAAGTGCTTAAAAATTCTCACTGGCAGGAGGCGACCAGTGAGTTATTTACAGATCGCAGCCGAGGAGTTGAACTAGGGGTAACCGAGAACAAATCCAGGGAGTGGCAGGGTGGAGGACTTGAACACGGGCCACCGGATTTCAAGTCCAGCACCCTAACCACTTGGCCACGCTGCCTCCACTATGGTGTCTGACAAGAATTGGGAACTATCAAATTCACGAATTTGATTGCCTGAAATCAATATTGAAAGCAGTCTAGATTTTCCCATCTAGACCGGCATCTAGACCGGTCTAGAAAAAAAAAGATACAAAGAATATAAAAAATTGGCATATAAGACACAGCCATATAATAAACACCTTATTAACCAAGCTAGGTTGGTCTGTATGGGAGAATCTTGACCTCTGTTGCTGGTACAGACCACACTGCGTTCGGTCTGTACTGGCGACCTCAGTCAAGACTCTCCCTTACAGACCTCCCGCTCGGTTATTAAGAACTAATTATTTTCCTTGTCACAGTGGTAGTGTCAGTTGCCACGTGATTGCTCTCCAAAAATCCACCTGGCGATCCCTGATTTTTCAACCAGCAAACTATGCGGGCAGCTGTCGCTTAGTGACAACCCTGGTTTGTATTAGTGTGCTTCTCTCATGCTGATAGAAAATACCAGTAGCTGTTTCTCTTTTGTCCTCTGTTTGATGCTAACTGTGTTGTGTGGTCTGTCTTCACAGAATGGTATTTTGATTTTGGATTTGTAATCCCAGCATCAACAAACACGTGGCAGTCACTCATAGAAGCTGCTCCTGAATCACAGATGATGCCCGCAAACGTTCTAAAGTAAGTCCTGTCAATTGCCATGAAATCAAACTTTAAATGAACAAAAGAACAAATCCTTTTATTGCTCACAAAAATAGTTATTATGATGAAATAACAAGAAAGTTATGTTTAATAAACAGGCAATTTTTAAAACCTTGTTTGATCAATACTGGAGCCTGGAGGTTTTTTTGATGTAGTCACTAATGATTTAAAAAGAGAACTAACAGAAAAAGAAACCAGGCTTAGTAGATAATGTAGTGTTACTGTCTAAGGTAGATACCTTAATTTCTCTTCAAGTTACCGGTACTTGTGATGTTGTTCTGACTGCAATAAACCTTTTACTACTCTGGCAAAAGATGATGTGTTTTTAGGGTTCGTATTGGTCCTGGAAAACTTGGAAAGTCCTGGAATTTTATTTTGATATTTTCCAGAACTGGAAAGTCTTGGAAAAAGACTGCAGGGTCTGGATAGTCCTGGAAATTTGCTTAAATCAAGCAAGAACGTTTTCAGAATTGATGTTATTAGAAATGTATATAGACCGTAAGGAGGAGAGTTGATTTTGAAATGTTGGGAATAAAATGGTTAAAGGTGAAATTTGGAGTCCTGGAAAAATCAATCTGAGCCTGGAAAGTCCTGGAAAATTCCTTGAAATTTGTTTCTTAAAAAGGTATGAACCCTGTATTTTTGTCTTTTGTTTAGTGATTCAAACCAGGTTTCTAAAACTCTCACTAGATCCTTGGGTTTCCAGTATCTGTCCTTAAAGAAATTCTTTTGAACTGAGGGGTTGTACACATGTATGTTAACCTTTTCCCTTCACTGAAAGCTGAAATATACTTATGGAGTATGGTTATGTGATCTTTTTCAGTGGCAATGTGGTGATTGAAACAAAGTTCTTCGATGGCGACCTGCTGGTAAGCACATCAAGAGTGCGAGTTTATTATGTCTGACCAAGGCAACGAAAACCTTTTTCTACACCTCTGTCTTTGTAAAGTTTCAGGGATGCTTTCCATTTGCCAGAACTGGCTTTCCCAACCATCCTGTTCGTTAATGAAAAGGTTCCTTCTGACCTAGCTGGCACACCTCATTGAGTACTGCTACACAGGGTCTGTACCATGAGCAAACCATTCATGAAGTGCACCTGATGGTTTGCAAATAAAAACGACTGGCATTGAAAACCTTTCTGGAGAGAACAACTAGTATGACTGTGCTAAGGAGGAGTGCACTCTCATTTTCTGTAACATTACACATGCAGGAACTGTCTCCAACATTGTGGCCAGAGCTGGTGAATGGAAAGCACCCTGGATGTACAGTGCTGTAATCTTTAGGACAGTTATGTCGCCTCAAATTTATTTAATGATCACTTTTACCTGTGTGTTAAAAGTAGGAATTGTGGTATAATGAGATTTTGATGTTTGTTTTTCAGTCTTCTAAAATTGGATGATTGCTACAGTTTGTAGTTGAGTGAGGTGCCAACAGAAGTTTGGCAACCATGTTGTGACATTAAAATCATATCATTGTCATGGGCAACTGGCTCCATTTCCATTGGCAATGCATCATTTGTACTTTTTTGGCAGAGTTTCAAGTTTGATGGTTAGCCACATGTGGCCATTGAGACTTGATGACTAGTAGAAACAACAAAAGTTGCCTGTGACAACACCTTAGTTTTAAGATGAAAATCCACACTCAACTGATAATTGTATCATCTATGTTATTTAATTTTCACTTCATCAGTGTTATGTACAATTACAGTAATGGCTGTCAGAAATTTTAAAAGTTCTTTCGCTGTGATTGTTTAATGTAAATTCTTCCATCAGTAGGCATCTCTTCAGGGTTTTTTTCAAGAAATATGGCTCAGGAAAACAATGTTAAGTAATAGGATTGTATACTGCATGATGGTTCCACATCGGAATGAAGATTGAAATGCTCAGGACATCGGTCAGAGAGTTCTACACAGCCACCAGAGAATTCTCTGATCTCCGTTGCCCAATGAGCTGGAATTTTTTCTTTTCTTCACTTATGCTCATAAACCGAAGTTCATTTTTAGAAAATTCACACATTTTAGATCCATAGAGATCTGCAAGTGTCTTCATTTGAATATTATGCTCCTGATGTTATTGGTAAGGAGAAATAATACTACAAAGAAACAAAGAAAAAAAAGACATCTGGGAAAGAGAGATGGTGGTCTGCCTCTCCTTTACATCTGTTGATTGAGGAAACAGAAAGCTTTTTGGGAAATAGCTGCAGCATATTTAGCTCGTCAGTTAGATTTATTTATTAAAATGCATCTAGTAGTTTAGCTCTGCACTGTCTAGCTGAGTTGGTTTTCATGAGATGTACGAATTTTTGTCCTGTGTGGGAAAGCTAAATGTACTTCATCCCATACAGCGATCATGTCCAACAATGACTTTTAAATGTAGTTGCAACAGAGATATTTCAGAGAACGTACAAACTGTGTGCCATGTAATTTCTTGATTTTGYTGTCATGTTGTTAATTGATTCAATTATGAATTTGTCGTTGTTTCGCCAGTAGTACAGCTAGCAGTTGTTGATAGATAGGATTGTATAACAGCTGTTAATCATACATTTTGACACAATAAAAGGAATCTCCAAGACTCATTGGCACTTTAAGAACTGAACTGTGGTTTCCCCATGGCCAGCCGTAGGTTTGCCAATTTTTTAAGTTATGCTCTTAAGAAGGGCACCAATTCAAGTATATTACAGGAATTCGTGCTTCTACACATAAGCATCCTAGAACATTCACACAGACATACTACGTTTGAGAAAGTTTTATTTCTTTTGGCACTCAGCATACTTCTCTAAAAACAATAGTTCCATCTCTAACTTGTGGCATGATGGTGCACGACTCATGGCTGCGAGCCACAACATTTAAATAAAGCTCTAAAACGTGCTTCTCTGAATTTCTGTGGAAAACTTTCTTGTACCCTATCATTACGCATTTAAAATCTGTACATCATACGATAGTTTGCACTTATCTCTTCATTTTTGGACAATCTGAAAAATAAAATGTAATCTTAAAACTGCTTGATATAAAGTCTTAAAAACGCCGCAAGTCGGCGTCAAAATATCCTGAAAGAAAACTTTTTCTCGCCAACTAAGAGGTGATAGTTTTAATGAGGTAAAAAGAACGTGATTCTTCAATGCTAGATGATACCATTTACTACTTAAATCGATGGAATAACTTACAAAGAACGAAACAGTTTCGTCGATTAGAAAGTACACAAAAAGGCAAAAATATCACTTAAAAAGAGAGCTAAATTACTTCCAACTTACTTAAATTGAGGTGTTTATCTTTCATTTTTTTAGTTTTAAAAAAATCATAATTTTGGCTCAACATTCTTTTACAAATATCTTCGTCGTTGTGCTGCCCTAGTTACAATTCTATTGTCCAGCAAAATGAGGGCACAAACAGGCGAGAGCACTCTAAAAGTACCATTTTCCTACATAAGCACTACGAGGTAAGTTTGGTCTCGAGCTTTTGTGCCCTTAGACTAAAAGCACTCCCTTGTTTTCTGCGAAGTTTGTCACGCAAGTCAAAGAATATCAGAGAGTAAAAAAATTGACGTAGCGCGCCGCGCGGAGTTCTGAGAACAAAGCAGCAGTGCGGTATTTTCCGTGCGCCTCATTCCCAGAGTTACACGCGGCGCGTTAAAATTTATCTGTTTTCTATAATTTTCTCAATTTTTTTTTTTACTAGTGAAACGGACTTTGCCGTGCCCTTAGCTTTCCTTTACAATTAGCGTGGAAAAGACCCATGAACACGATTGTCAGTTCTCGGAGATGACACGTCGCCGGGTTATGTTATGGTATTAGGTTAACAATGTTTTACTGCCAACAGCTTTCAATTCTTTTTAAAATACTAGTGACTTTGGCGAAGCTTACAACTCTGACACCATTCACTATATATTATGAAAAAGAACAGTTCTTCAACACCCGCTTTATCATCCGATTCTCACTGCTGTTTGCATTCTTTTTCCTTCTCTCTTTTCTTTTTATCTGAGCTGCGCCTGCGGTGCGGCTGTATCAGCGGCACTGGTTTAGCTTTCGACTCAACTCCCGTCGGGAAGGGTGTAGGGTCTTCTTCTGCACTACCATTTTGTGACTTACGGCCAAAAGTGGGGTCTATAAATTCTGCAATGTTGCATTCATTTCCGTTGGGAATACTGCCGTTGTTGATTAACTCCGTGTTGATATGATTAGAAGGCTCGGAACTAGCCACAGTTACCCTCCGCTCCAGGACTCTGCGGTCGCGTGAACCGTACGGAATCTGGTCATCTTCCTCATAGAGTCGTTCCCAGATCTCTTCATGGGTGACCTGGGATGTCGGAGACGTGAGAGCCTGAAATTGAGAAGATGAACTTGTTGATGACGTTTGGGAAGTTTGCCTAACAAACTCTGCCGATCTTTCCAGCGAAGACTGCTGCGATGAGTTTGGAGAATCGGACGATCTGTATTCTTGTTGGCGGAGCGCATCTCTATCAAGTGACGTGCTCGGCGGAGAATTAGAACTGGTTCGGGACAATCTTTTTGCACCATTTATGTCTCGTTCAAATGAACCGTTGTATTGCGATGTAGCTGGCCTCTCTGGGCAGCTGTATTGGCGATGTAAGTTGTTGTCTCTTTGAGCATCGTGTTCTGGTTTGAAGGTTGGTTCATCTTGCAGTAGATCGGGCATTCTGTTTCTGTGTGTTGCTTCCTCGTATGAAGGAAGCCTCTGATGCGACTGAAAGAGGAAGGACCCAAGAAATATGTGAACGACTACGCAAATGAAAAAAAAAAAGAGAAAAATACAAGACAAAATGATCGAAAAGTAGCCTTCTCAATATTTCTGCGCAAAAAAATGGGAGATTCCTCTCTCTGCAGTGAGTACATGTGGGAATTGTGATTGAGGCGAACATCAAGAACTCGACCCAGTTTTCGTGACTCGCCTTGAATCATATTGAAATACAGCAATTCGATTAAAGCCCCTTAAATTTTACCTTAAGAGAGGGGGTGGGGAAGTGATCTTCCCTTCGGTCTATACCAGCAAATTTAGCCTCTACCTCTTGTTTTTTTTTTTTTTCGTTAAATCCTCTTGCGCAACAGCGAGCATGTCCTTGTCGGATACATTGTTAGGGAACAGTCAATGAACAGTCAATGAACTTGCACCTTCATTCCGAATGGCGAACAACTCACCTGCAGTTCTCCTGTACTTCCAGACGAGCTTTCTGCAGGAACTGTCCGTGCTCTCTGCAATTGTCTCTCTCTCTTCAGCTTTTGTAATCTAATATATTCTCTTCTCTGAAGCTCTTTAGCAAATTCCTTTAAATGCGAAAGACACATAGAAGAGAGTTAAAAGACAACACGAAGAACCGTATAAAACTGCTCTCAATTAAGACAGCTAGAAAACACGCGCCACCCCTCAACCAATCAGATGCAAAACTAGAACCAATCGCCATTAAGTCCACTTGCATTTTCCCACGCTTGACGCGCCTTGCCAGTCACAAGCTAACTTTATAATCTCATTGGTCCTTTTGGATATTCTCTTTGCTCTGATTGGCTGTTGTGTTTAGCATGGTTTTGGTTTTACGAAGCTCAAGCGACAAACACCGTAAGCTGATACATCTTGACCACGTCTTCAATACTCTCAAGTAAATGATTAACTGACGCATACCCTGTCTTGATATTCCAGTGCTAGCTTCCTGTCGTGTTCCGCATGACGGTCTTGTTCTAATAACTGACATGGAATTAACTGTTGTTAGCTCTAACTGTAGAGTACTTCGAGATCCAAATTTATATTCAACATCATCGAGGCCCATAAATATTGAAAAAACTTCAATTGTGGACACTTTAAGAACTAAACTGTGGTTTCCCCATGGCCAGCCGTAGGTTTGCCAATTTTTGAAGTTATGCTCTTAAGAAGGGCACCAATTCAAGTATATTACAGGAATTCCTGCTTCTACACATAAGCATCCTAGAACATTCACACAGACATACTACGTTTGAGAAAGTTTTATTTCTTTTGGCACTCAGCATACTTCTCTAAAAACAATAGTTCCATCTCTAATTTGT